TTCAGTATGCTGAGTTTCTGAACTCTCCCAAACCTCAGTTTCAACTCTTCTCCTTCTCATACGGCAGTTCGTTTAATTCCTCTGTAGTCATCCAAAAAAAAAAAAAAAAAAAAAAAAAATCCACAGACTTGGCGTCTTTATTTCCCTGCTGGGCTTCAATGGGTTTAGTTTAATGTTTGATGCTGGAAGTCAAGAGTTGAAGGAGACCGCTGTAATATTTGTCTTCTCATGCGCCTGTCCCAGTAATCTTTCCTTTCTTCACTATGGTAAACAAATTATCACCGCGCGATGGCTCTCGTTAACATTAGTTTTGATGTGATTATGGTGATGGCGATTGTGTTATGCTAGAGATTAGCGTGCGTCTCTTCATGGATCAGGAACACCCTCAATAGCTGTCACAGCAGGATGTCTTCAGGCAACCAAACATGTTAACGTGAGGGGAATCAGCTGAGCTGCACATGGGCCCAGACTTGAGTCTTAGAAACGCAAACTGAGCTTCAATGTCCTCGGTTCATCTAAAAAGGAAAATTTGCTCACTATTTACTCACACAGAGTTGGTTTTAAAACTTTGAGTTTCTGTTTTCTGTTGAACACAAAAGAAGATTTTGAAGAATCTCAGGAAGTGGTAGCAAAGACTATAGACATTGTTGGGACATTGTTGGGAAAGTTACTTCAAAAAAGTAATTAATTACTACATTGTTAAGGATTCAGACATTGTTGGGACATTGTTTGGAAAGTTACTTCAAAAAAGTAATTAATTACTACACTGTTAAGGATTTCCTGTAGAATCTACAGTAACTTACTGGCAGCAGTTCGCCAGTAACTTAATTACAGCAAAAATACTGTATTTTACACCATTTATCTTGCTGTATTTGTATTTACAATATTGTATACCTTTATATAGTAGTTTTTACAATGCAACTTTAAAATACAGTAACATATTGTAAAACTGTCCTACAGTAATATTCTGTTAATCTTACAGTTACATACTGTTTAATTTACCAAAATTGTTAATTGTACAGTTGTAGTGCAGCAGTCCACCAAGAACTTACTGTAAATCAATTACAGCAAAAATACTGTATTTACATTTACAGCACCATTTAAATTGCTGTATAAATATTTGCAGTATTGTACATATTTACTGTTAAATATACAGTAATTTTCACAATGCAAATTTAAAATAAAGTAGCATGCATAACCATCATACGGTAAAATACAGTTCATATTACCGTTAAATACTGTGTAATTTACAAAAATCATTAACAGTGTAATTATAGTGCAGCAGTCCAACTTACTGTAAATCAATTATAGCAAAAATACTGTTTGTACATTTACAGCACTATTTATCTTGCATATATACTTGCATCTTTACTGTTAAATATACAGTATTTTTTAGAATGCAACTTTAAAATGCAGTACTGTATAACTGTCCTGCTGTAAAATAAAGTTCATATTACAGTTAAATACTGTGTAATTTCCAAAAATCATTAACAGTGTTATTGTAGTGCAGCAGTCCACCTTTAACTTACTGTAAATTAAGTACAGCAAAAATACTATTTACATTTACAGCACCATTTATCTTGCTGTATTTATTTTTACAGTATTGTACATCTTTAATGTTAAATATACAGTAATTTTCACAATGCAACTTTAAAATAAAGTAACATGCATAACTGTCATACAGTATTATACAGTTTACATTACAGTTAAATACTGTGTAGTTTACAAAAATCATTAACAGTGTAGTTATAGTGCAGCAGTCGATACTATTAAACCCCAACACATTTGCTCAACATCATTGAGCAAGGTCAAACCACACAATAAAGTTACATGAACGAGAAGGCATGAGGACATAACACAATTTAAATCAAGTTATTTTAGCATGCCAAAGTCAAATTTATGCATATAATATGTATTTTCCCAACAATAAAATTATGGCTAGTGAAAATGCTAAGTGGCTAGTAACATTTGAAAACTTCTAGCCACAGTGGCTGGTGATCAAAAAAGGAAATTAGCCCTGCTGATAACACCCATTCAATCGAGTGATAGCATTCAAACCGGCTGCGCTAGAAATCCTAGCCAACCTCAGAAAGTTTATTGTTTCCTCTCTTCTGCTTGATTTGTTGTAACTTTTAAAGCAAATTGATCATTTTCAGCAGCAGTAATTAGAAAAATATCCACATTTCATTAGGTTTAGTGACATTATTCAGATACTGTGCCTCAAAGATGGCCAAATGATGAAGATGCTCCATAGTGCGCAACAGTTATAGTGCACAAATGATGTTTCAAGATAAACTAAGTTTTAATCCAGGGTCCAATACTACTTGGAAAAATCACACCCACCACTCCTATTTTAAATGGACTAGGTCAAATAGATAATTGCATTCATTTGTTCCAATAACACATTGCCCCGTTTAAGCATTCGCCATAACGTTAGTAAAGTAGTCATACTAATAGCGAATAGATCATAATGACATGAGTTTTTGACCCGGAAAATACGAATCTGCGAATCTGTTGCTAACTTTACTGAACATCATATTTCCATATATTTCAAGCTACGAATATTTGTAATTACAAATCAACAGAACAAAACCGAGATATGATCACAAACTGAGCAGCTGCGATCAATATACTTTACCCCCAGCTGTTTTTCAGTCATTTAAAAAGAGCACACAAACATACTGACATTCATTCATTTTCTTGTCTGCTTAGTCCCTTTATTAATCCGGGGTCGCCACAGCGGAATGAACCACCAACTTATCCAGCAAGTTTTTACGCAGCGGATGCCAGCCACAACCCATCTCTGGGAAACATCCACACACACATTCGCACACACACTCATACATTACTGACAATTTAGCGTACCCAATTCACCTGTACCACATGTCTTTGGACTGTGGGGGAAACCGGAGCACCCAGAGGAAACCCACGCGAAGGCAGGGAGAACATGCAAACTCCACACAGAAATGCCAACTGAGCCGAGGTTCGAACCAGCAACCCAGCGACCTTCTTGCTGTGAGGTGACAGCACTACCTACTGCACCACTGCCTCGCCAACATACTGACAGTTATAGGTAACTTACTGTACATTGTTTTGGGTCAATGATGCTAATATCCGGCACAAATCAATCAGTTTCCCTTTCTGGCTGTTCTTTCTATGAATGAACTATGTAAAAGCACTGTCATGCGTGTTTCCTTGTCGGTTAGTAACGCTATATTTCATTGCACAACAATTAATCTATCAGACTTTTTGGCTAAAAATAGAGAAATCACGGTTTCATTTGTTAATATAAAATTTTTTTTTAAACTTCACCTCTCCTGCTGAGCATGAACTAAGCTGTTAAATGGTCAGCATATGAGGCGGCTAGGCTAAGCTAGCTTAAATTCTTATTTAATTATTCTCTAATCGGTTGCCTATTATGTTGTGAATATACTCCTGTAATGCAGACTGCCCTGCTGAAAAATCCAGCTTAAACCAGCCTAGGCTGGTTGGCTGGTTTACGCTGGTCGACCAGGTTGGTTTTAGAGGGGTTTTGGCCATTTCCAGGCTGGTTTCCAGCCATTTCCAGCCTGGTCTTAGATGGTCAGGCTGGAAAATGACCAGCTAAATCCAGCTAAAACCAGCTTGACCAGCATGGTTTAAGCCTGACATAGCTGGTTTTGGCGGGGCTCCCAGCCTCCCAGGTTTTAGCTGGTCATCCCCCAGCCTGACCAGCTAAGACCAGGCTGGAAATGGCTGGAAACCAGCCTGGAAATAGCCAAATCCCCTCTAAAACCAGCCTGGTCGACCAGCTAAAACCTGCCAACCATCCTAGGCTGGTTTAAGCTGTTTTTTTCTGTAGGGGGCAGTCTTTTTTGTCTGGCTTTCTCGGATATCCCACCTGTTCGCCAAAAATGACATTATATCCCTGGCCATGTCTGAAACCGGCGCACACACATTGAAAAAGCCATGCCAGGCACAAAAGCTTGACAGGCGTAGCAACAGTAACTAAGGAGGGCGGAGCTTAGCGAAGGCTACGTTGGGTTTCTTAAGCTTTAAGCCTGTATTTTGTTCATGTATATTGTCTATTCCTGCTGTTTGAATGCACTTTGGTTGGGATCTCCATTACCTTTTATTTATTTTATTTTGTATTATCTTGTGTCAACTTTTATGTTTAAGTGTGTGTTGTATTGGGTCAGCTATTGCTGTGCACTAAATTGCCCCTCCGGCTCAATAAAGAGATTCCAGTCCAATCCAATCCACCTAACTGCTCCGTGAAGTTTTCACCACTCAAATTAGTGACTTGATGAAAAGTTGTTCCACAGACTTGCCTCAACTGGGATTCATTCAAATCACGCCTCAACTTTTTGGATCAGGATTGATTCTCCAGCATTAGTAGCCTCTGGTGACAGCTATCAGAATGCAGCTGCCTCATCTAGCTTTCATTAGCAAGTGAAAGACACACTCGCGATGCCTGTGGTGATCTTGTTTCTTATGTCTCCACTGCACGCTTCTGTGCTCCTGACCTCACGGTCCCCTTCCTCGTTCCCGTCACGCTGCTGTGAGTTGTCGCCTGTTGAGGGATCAGCTGTGTGAATCTGCTGTCCTGCTGCGTGGAGTCTCTTTCATCCTGTCACACTCTCCACGCACACCTCTGTCCCCAGCAGCACACCATGTTCACCCTAGTATTCATACTGAGTGTGAAGTAGTTCTAGTATTGACTTTGATGCACATACAGTTGAAGTCAGAATTATTCACCCTCCTGTGAATTATCTTTTCTTTTCCAAATATTTCCCGAAGGATGTTTAACAGAGCAAGGAATTTTTCACAGTATTTACTATAATATTTTTTTCTTCTGGAGAAAGTTTTGTTTGTTTTATTTTAGCTAGAATAAAACTAGTTTTAAATTTTTTAAATCCATTTTAATGTCAATATTATTACCCCCCTTAGGCAATATTTTGATCAGTTATGATTGATTAAATATAGCTCATTTCTAATACTTGTTATTTATCTGATTACAGTGACAAACGATTCTCTGCTTTGGGCTTCGGAGCAAGAATTCCACCTAATTATGAGGTAAAATACCCTTTTTGTATATTAATTTCTATATTGTTAAGATAAAGGTATTTAATTAATTGTGATGTATATATATATTTGCAATTTTGTTTATTTTTCTGATGCACTTATTGTAATAAATAAATTACAATAGGCATTTTTATAGCAAATAAATTACAAATATTTAAAATATACCACAGTCAACATTTTTTTAAGCATGACTGAATGTATCATTTCATAATTGGCTTTGACATTATAATTTCACTTAAGCAAATATAATGAAATAAAATATACTTTAATGCAATTTTAATTGAAACTTAAATGTAATGTATTATATATTTAAAGATTACATATAAATCTAACTTACGATTAGGGCCAGACGGAATCTGCGGACGTTTTTTACCATTTCTGCACAGCATTTTGTTTAAAATCTGCAAATTTATGCATTTTAACTGTCATTTAATGTTTACAATGCAAATCCAATTAGATCCACTTTATTTGGTAAACAAAGCAAGTCTCTCATATAATATCTCTACTAAAAGACAGAAAATATTACTTTACAAAATGATTTGTGAATAAATCATAAAAAATATTTTTATATTAGTCAATAATATTACTGAAATTAAATTAAAAATGGAATAAATATGAATGTACACACATTTACTCAAGTAAATAAACAGTATCAATGATGGGCTAACCATCTGCGGAAATCTACACGCGTAGATTTCGTGTGGATAGATGAGAACAACCTTTTAAGCCTACTAGTAGGCGCAGAAGGCCCCTACTGGCCTATATCTATCAGCTGATAACCACTGATAATGCCCATTCAATCGAGTGATAACATTCAAAGTGGGCACTGAGAGGTAACAAGGGCTAGTAACGAACCACTGTATTTCCATCAACTAAATGCATTATTAAATACTGTAATAGATATATTGTTCATTATTTGTTCATAGTAAATAAAAAGAATAACATTAACTAAATTAAAAATTATTGTTCAGTGTTACAAAAGTATACTTAAAAACGTTACAAAGTATAAACAAACAGACTAGGAAGTGTACTCTCTCTCTCTGAGTACCTCTTATTTCATTTTAAGACTTGTTATTGTAAACAGATCTGCAAATAGCCGTCTCCGTATCTCACATATGCAAATTCATAACTTATTTTATTTGTATTTACAGACTCTCTCTCTAATGTAATACCAATTTTTAACAGCTATTTTCCCACAGTTAATATAATAACAGCTTGCAAAGCCTTCCCTAGCGCTGACAGTAAACTGTCACATGATTTCATTTTATGGTCTGTTTGTTCAGGCAGATTGCTCTGCGGTAGCTGTGAGGTCTATTTCCTTTTCAAGGGAGTATAATAATAATAATAGTTATATTCAGGATGTCTTTCTCAACAAAGAAAAATCAATGTGCTACAAGAAGTACCAGAGGGGGCCCACGGTGGTTGTTGCTTACACTGGAAAATTCAGCTATTTTGTTTTAGCAGCATCGTCAGATGATTTCATGCATACAATACCTAGCAAAAGTCTTGTCGCCTATGCAGGTTTTAAGAACAGCAAATAATTACTTGACTTCTAGTTGATCATTTGGTATCAGAAGTGGCTAATATGAAAGGCAAAAGCCTCTCGATTACACTTATTTTACCAAAATAAAATATGATCATGCCTTGATTTTTAATTATTTGATTAGGACAGTAAGATCTGACTTTGCTTAGACAAAAGTCTTGTCACTTAACAGAAATAATGTCCAGTATAGATTATAAAGTCATGCTGCAGTGGAAACAGAATGAATATTGTGTATGACTTCCATGAGCTTGGAGGACTGCATCCATACATCTCTGCAATGACTCAAATCACTTATTAATAAAGTCATATGGAATGCCAAAGAAAGCGTTCTTGCAGGACTCCCAGAGTTCATCAAGATTCTTTGGATTCATCATCAATGGCTTCAATTCATCTTACCCCAGACATGCTCAATCATGTTCACAACTGGTGACTGGGCTGGCCAATTCTGGAGCACCTTGACCTTCTTTGCTTTCAGGATCTTTAATGTGGATGCTGAAGTATGAGAAGGAGCGCTATCCTGCTGAAGATATTGCCCTCTCCGGTGGTTTGTAATGTGCAGCACAAATGTCTTGACACCTCAGGCTGTTGATGTTGATCATCCACTCTGCAGATCTCTCACACCCCCATACTGAATGTAACCCCAAACCATGATTTTTCCTTCAGCAAACTTGACTGATTTCTGTGAGAATCTTGAGGTCATGCGTGTTCCAGTAGGTCTTCTGCAGTATTTGTGATGATGGGGATGCAGTTCAACACATGATTCAATAGAAAAAATCTACCTTCTGCCACTTTTCCAAATGATCAACTTGAAGTCAAGTTATTATTTGTTGCTCTTACAAACGAGACAGACTTTTGTCAGGTTAGACTAGTGTTGTGCAAACTAACACATGCAAAAACACACAAGCGCTGCATGATTTACTAAACAGCAGGAATTATGACCTTGAATTGAGGTTTTAAACAAGAAACCCGATGTAAAAGCATGCTAAACAAGCTGTATTTTGTGTTTTTTCAGGTGTCTCATGATTTTGCCATTAATTTCAACCCAGAGGACGATGAATGTGAAGGTAAGAGTGACAGGCACTTTGTGCGTTAGTCTCTCCTGAGAGCTAAACACAGACATTCAGTGATGTTTTTGAAGCTTTTCACAGTTATAAGAAAGTTTACTTACTTGTCATCGTTTACTTTCACTCTCACTGACGTTTTGTTCTTTATATGACTTTCTTTCGACTGTGGAAGGTGAAATGTTGAGCAAAGACCGAACTACAGTATAAACATTCCATAACAGTGATTCAATATGACTTGTGTGCTACATTACATGCCACCTTTGAATAATATTGAATAAGATCATATTTTTTTTTATTTATTTATTATTTTAATTTATTTATTTTAGTATTTCTTATTTATTTATTTAATATTATTTTAGTTTGTTTATCTTATGTTTTATTTTTTCCTTCTTTATTTTTTCTTTATTTTATTATCATTACTTTAATTAATTTATTTTTCTTTTCTTTTTATTTATTTATTTAATATTATTTTTATTTATTTATTTACAGTATACAACATACTTTGTAGTAATTCTGTTTCAAGAGTTCACACTTAAATATTGCTCAAGGATGTTAGCAGGTTTGGCATGCTGTCCCGGAAGAGAACCCTGAGGCTTCTGGTCAGTTTGCATGAAAGGGTAGACGAGGTCAGGTTGTTTATTTTAATTATTTTAATTAATTTGTTTAAAATAACTTTTTAATTTTTTTTCTATCTCTTATTTTTCCTTTTTTATTTATTTTATTATTTTTTATTATTATCATATTATTATTAGTATAATAGACCAAATGGAAAGTGCTCAACACAAAGGAGTATACCCCATTTTGAAAATGAATGTTTTGATTCTGTAGCATTGGGAGGCTGACAACAGAGTTGAGGATCCACCTGATGCTTTATTAAAGAGTAGTCATACAGGCGATGGTCAAACACAGGGGCAAACGGGTACATACGGATACATTGCCAGCAGCTAGCAACTCTCACATTGTCGCCCACTGAAGCTAAGCAGGGCTGCGCCCAGTCAGCACCTGGATGGGGGACCACATGGGAAAGCAAGGTTGCCGCCGGAAGTGGTGTTAATGAGGCCAGCAGTCGGCACTCAACCTGAAATCTGTGTGGGTCCTAATGCCCCAGTATAGTGACGGGGACTCTATACTGCTCAGTGAGTGCCGTCTTTCAGATGAGACATTAAATCGAGGTTCTCCATGGTCGTTAAAAATCCCAAGAAGTCCTTCGAAAAAGAATACGGGTTTAACCCCTGCAACCTGGCCAAATCTGCCCACTGGCCTCGGTCTATCATGGCCTCCTAGCAATCGCAATACCATAATTGGCTTCATCACTTAAGCCTGGTTTTGACTTCTGCGTCAAGTGACCGGCGTAACCCTCGGCGCATGCAACGCGTGTAGCTGTGCATTTATACTTCTGCGCGCTGTCTCTGTTGGTCTGCATTAACACTTCCGAAACGCTAGTGGGCAGTGAGGTGTAAATGTTCCTCTGTGTCGAGTTTCTTCTCTGCTGTTTTGCTTTTCCTGAACACTTCCTGAATGTACAAGTGGCTCAAACTCGCTCATTTTGAGGCAGGAACCGGCGGACGTGCAACAACTTTAACTATGAGGTAAACACACAACAAAACTTTCCATCAGGAGCTCCTTCACGGGACTCCACACTTGTAAACACTCGCTCCATTGGGCTCGCGTCCAGCTCGCGCGGCTCTCGGTCCCGCCCAGACTCGTCAGAGCTACCAAGCCAACCAATCACAGAGCTTGCGCTATGCGTCGTTGCGATGTGTAGTTACAATTTTTGAGAGATGCACGTCAGCGACGCCGACGGCCAAGGCGAAGGGCTATGCGTCAGCGCCGTAGCATACGCCGGCGTTTGACGCAGAAGTATAAATCAGCCTTAAGTCTCCTCTCCACCAGTCAGCTGGTGTGTGGTGTGTGGTCTGGCCCAATATGGATGCCGTCACAGCGGCCTCTGGTGCATTTTCTGAAAACAAAAACTGCCTAAAAACGTAGCTCCTGGATAGTATTTTGCGCTCTACAGAAATGTATATAGAGGTACGTAATCATAATGAGCCTGGGTTGCATATAGATGTATGAATATCTTGTTTTGTGTTCAACAGAAGAAAGATGTTCATGAAAGTCTAGAACCACTTTAGCATGAGTAAATGGTGAGGATTTTTTTTTAAATAATTTTGTAGTGAACTTCCTCTTTAATTAGTTTTTTTGAAACAAAGAATTTGTTTGACCAGCTGGTAACTGGATTGGACACAGATACCATTTTAAACAGGATTTATCCAGCTATAAATATGAATGATATTTCAACAACAAAATATTTCTTGATACATACTTACAAATCAATACTCATTGACTTTTATTGATACATGTAAATCAATACACCTTGATTTTAAAGACTCATATTGCTAAGCCTTTGCAACTTTCATAGCACAATTTTTTATATTACTAGCATTTTAATGTTTTCATGGATAAAGAATGATTGTATGGTTTTTTTAAATGACCTGAGCCTGAATAAATTATGACCTAATTTGACATTTTGTGAGTGAACAATTGCTTTAACACCCAAAGAGAACGTGTGAAGCCTTTGGAAAATTGCTTCAGTCCTTTCACGTTTCTGCAGAGGAGCTCCAAGTCCATCTCTCGACTGATTTGATCCCGAAATCTGTTGCTTTCGCTGCCAATTCCTCGGCGCTGCTCTCAGAAAGCCTTTGAGACAGTCAGAGAAATACAAATAAGCCTCCAGAAGAGAAGTGATAGCCGTGTCTCCTCTCTCTCTGATCAGAGATCCAGGGGGTCGTGGAAGCCTACCAAAACTGCCTGCCCAAGATCCAGCTCTACGGTCCCACCAATGTGGCTCCCATCATCAACAGAATAGCCAAACAGGCGGCTGGAAAAGAGCCCATCAAAGACGCTTCTGTGAGTATCTTTAAAGTTCCTGCCTTTTTTTTTTTTTTTTTGGCACAGCACTTAAGTGGGAATAAAGGATTCGCTAAAAGTATTATGCAATCAGGTATTCCTATTGACAGTCTAGTCTATATTAAAGAAAAAAATCATACACTTGACGCTTGAGGACTTTGATGTTTGCAGACTGTTAGCTATGTGCCTCTTCTGTTAAAGCTATAAAGAAGAAATAAGTGTTGGGGGTGTTTGCTTGTATGTTTGATTTTTTTGTTGCTGTTTTTGACTGTTTTTCTGTTGTTCATATTTTTTTTAAATCTTATATGTAAAGTATTAAAAAAGATGCATTAACCTCAAAATTAGGAACTGTCATATTTTCTGCAACATTAAACAAAATGAAGCAGGTTTAATGGTTGAAGAGCAGATATCTGTAATTAGAAAGTGAAAACCTACTTTCATTCATTCATTCATTTTCTTGTCTGCTTAGTCCTTTTATTAATCCGGGGTCGCCACAGCGGAATGAACCGCCAACTTATCCAGCAAGTTTTTATGCAGTAGATGCCCTTCCAGCCGCAACCCATCTCTTGGAAACATCCACACACACATTCACACACACACTCATACACTAAGTGTCTAGGCTGGTTCTCTCCTCAGACTGCTGCCCCACGACCCGGTCCCAGAAAAGCAGATGAAAATGAATGAATGAATGAATTAATTAATGACTTATGATAATTTGAATATATAGAATTATCTTTTTATGTTAATTTAATTATCGACTTTTAACTTGATTTTTTAAAAATATATGAATAACTGAAAGTGTTTAGGAAGATTATGTGTGATATGTTTAAGTTAATATTATATTTTTATCTTAATAGATCTTCTGAAAATGTAAAAAATATATACTGAAAATATACTGTGAAAATAAAATAATAAATCATTAAAAGATAGTTAGAATAAACCAGTATTGGGTCTTTAATTATGAATAAAAAACAGAATATGTTTTAATAAACATGCTACTCACAATCCATGTACGTAATTTTTACATATTCATTCATGCATTTTGATGTCGCCAGTGAAATGAAACGCCAACTATTCCAGCATATGTTTTACACAGAGGATGCCCTTCGTGCCGCAACCCAGTACTGGGAAACACCCATACACTCTTACACTAATTTAGTTTATTCAGTTCACTTATACCGCAAATCTTTGGACTGTGGGAGAAACCGGAGCACCCGGAGGAAACCCACGTGAACACAGGCAGAACATGCAAACTCCACACAGAAATGCCAGCTGACCCAGCCGGGACTCAAAACAGCCACCTTCTTGCTGTGAGGCGACAGTGCTAACCACTGAGCTGCTCTGATTTTTCCATATAACCTTTAAAACTTAGTCAAGGTATAAATAATAATAAATAAATAAATCTTGTCAACTTTTTTTTCAGCTAATGATGTTGAAGGCTGTTTTGATAATTAACACGGCTACAATCAATTCAGAGTGCTATCACGTTAAAAGTCATTTAATGGTCTCGGGTCAGACATTTGCCCTCAAGCTCAACAATTATCAATGCCTTGCTCTACTTCATTTGCTGTCTCCAACACAATACTGTATGTCCTTGTGATGTTCTTCATCTATTATTTAATGTTAGATCCCCCTTCCCCAAAAGTGATCGTTTTTCAGTAAATGAGCCCACCGAGATCAATGTACAGAAACCAGGACATCCATTCAGACTGAAGACTTGCATGTTTAATGTTGCTGGACCCTTGGGATGTTCAGGCCAGTAAATATTGCTAATTTTAGCCCACTGACTGACTATTTTAGGGTGGTATGTAATATTCTGCTCACTTCTTTTTAAAGGAATTTAAGGCATTTAAAGGAACAGTTCATCCATTGTTTTACAATGTGGATTTTGATCTTAAAGGGACAACTCCAGCAGAGGTTTACATTTCTGGAGATCGCAAATTACGTAGCTAGAGGTTTGTATGGCTGCATTTCATCTTAAAAACGAACGCTACAGGAGGTATAACACCTTTCCTTTTCACACCTACTAGCTGACCGCTTAGCTTCATATGGACAGCTTTTCCACTGTTACCAGTTTGTCCAGTCCTGGAGACACATACTTAACAATGGGGTTTGAGTCCAGCAAAGAATGGTTCCAGAAAACAGGTACAACAAAAACGGAAGCCAAAAAATAAAATAAACAAATAAATAACAGAGTGAGAATGTAGTAAATTCTGAAAATGTGGTAAAAATCAGGCGAGGGCTTTTCTTTTTCTGGATAGCTTTTTAAAACTGTCTGTTGGGTTTAGGGAAGTGGGTGGGTGGATGGAACAATCGATGCTTTTAAAAACACTATTGATTGGATTTAGGGAAAGAGCGTAGGTCAGTCTATCAGGAAATCAGTCAGTCAGTAGACAGCGGCGTCTGTTGGATTTACGTGAGAACAGCAGGCGCAAATGGCCCTCGGGAGAGATATTTGAGATCTCAAAAGTGTTCAGAGGCCTCTGATAGATTCATGAGATTCAACAGCAACTCCTGGGATGTATTTGATGCTCTCCAGAAATGTATATAGCAGTACGTTTTCAGAATGAGAATTATTAACTGCCCTCAAGTGGTTTCAGACCTTTTAAACAGCCTCTGAAGCAGTTTGTTGCTGTGTTACTGTGATATTAGCCCCTTTCACACAGTGATACCGGTAAATATCTGGAAAATTTCCAGAACGACTTTACCGGTATATTCAAAAAAGCGCTGTTCACACAGGCGAGGACGTAACGGAAATTTTCCGGAAAAGGGCATTCACACATACATTCCAAAATACCGGTAAATTCTGACATCATACACCACAAATGAGCTTTAAACGGCTGCGCTTGTATTTATAAACATTTGACTACATTACAAACTCTGTGGATGATCAATATTGTGAACAACTTTCGCAGGATCACTTTCGCATGTCGAGATGTTCATAATATGTGCGTGTGCAGGCGCTCACAGGCTGTTTCACAGGCACACGCAAAGCTTGAAGGTAAACAAACAACGGCTTATCATAAGCATCTCATCGATGATTATTTACACAGTTGGCATTAAGAAGAACATATAAACGTAATCTGACTAACTTCTAGCAGCTAAAGGTGAAGGAAAAATATTCAAAGGCTTTTATTCTCATAAACCGCGCGGACGTAAATGCGTCTGACTGTTGTGATTGGCTAAAACAGACGTCTCACGTCAGCACGTTCTAGACGTGCACGCGCTTATTACGGGAATCTTCCTTCTGCATTCACACAGCGCAGCATTTCGGCAAATTGCTGGTAATGTTACAACTTCTCTTTCCGGAAAATAGCCAGAACGAATTTACCGGTATTTTCAAAAAGGACCTGTTCACACATGCAACCTTTCCGGAAAATTGCCGGCAATTTTCCGGAAAGGTCTGTTTGTGTGAAAGGGGCTATTGTCCATCACAGTTTAACTTTGGAGAAATGAACAGAGTTTATGGAGTCTCTTTCACAATTAATGCTGCAAACTTCAATGCTTTTGGTTTTACCAGTTTTAGATTGCAGCGCAAGGCACAGCAGAAACTCAATACTTGTGTATTTCTCTCTTAGCTCACGAATGTTAATTTAGTTAGAGAAAGTATTCAGACCCCCTTATTTTTTACTCTTTCTTACATCACAGCCATTTGTTAAAATCAAAAGTACTCTTTTTTTCCTTTTTAATGTACACACAGCACCTCATATCGACCGAAAAACAGAATTATTGACATTTTTGCATATTTATTAAAAGAAAAACTGTATATGACATGGTCCTAAGTATTCAGACCTTTGCTCAGTATTTAGTAGAAGCTCCATTTTGATCCAATACAGTCGTGAGTCTTTTTAGGAAAGATGCAACAAGCATTTGGGTATCCTCTGCCATTCCTCACGCAGATCCTCTCCAGTTCTGTCTGGTTGGATGGTAAAAGTTGGTGGACAGCCATTTTTAGGTCTCACCAGAGGTGCTCAATTGGGTTTAAGTCAGCATTGGGTTTAAGGCCGTACTCACACTAGGTACAGTTGCCTCGAACCGGGCCAAAGCACGCTTGTCTCCCCCGACGGCCCGCGCTCACACCATATCGGGCCTCGGCACGCTTACGTCATCGCTGCTGCGCTGTTCAGAAGCGCTCTCTATGGCAAGCCTTTTTAGCATTTAAATCTTTGTTCTGACTCCATAAATATATTTAGAGATATCTCTAATTATATTTTGACTAGTCGTAATTATAATTCCACTACTCAGAATAACAATTAGAGATATCTGCAATTACAATTGTACTAGTACGAAATCAGATTGGAGATATCTGCAAATATATTATGACTAGTCATATTCCTCCATTGACTTCCATTGAAAAATATTTGCCGATATCTCTAAATGAGTTTTGATTAGTCACAATTGTAATTAGAGATATCTCTAACTGAGTTTTTACTAGTCATAATACATTTGGAGATATCTTTAATTCGTCATATTTAGAGATATTTACAAATATATTTGAAGATATCTCTAATTAATTTACTAATAGTCGAATTACAGTTGTAGATATCTTGAATTGGATTTTTGATGAGTCAAAACTCAGATATATGCAAATATTTTTTTCAATGGAAGTCAATGGAAGAATATGACTAGTCATAATATATTTGCAGATATCTCCAATCTGATTTCGTACTAGAACAATTGTAATTGCAGATATCTCTAATTGTCATTCTGACTAGTCGAATTATAATTATGACTAGTCAAAATATAATTATATCTCTAAATATATTTATGGATAGTCTGAACAAGGTTTAAATGCTAAAACGGCTTGCCATACGCTCTCACCCAGTAGCACAGTGGAGATTTCTCTAGTTATATCGTTTCAGTCGTTTGTCATACAGTGACATGAAGTCAAATATTTCGCCAAACAGTTCTTAGGGATACGGTGACACGCAGTCAGATATTTCGCCGAACAGATCCGCCACTTTTGGCGCTCATAAACAATCATAAAGCTCTCGTGCTGCAGGAATGAGGAGGTCTGCTGAAAGCGCGCAGCTGTCATGCTGTTAGGAATTTGCGTCTTTAATAAACTACGGCAGTTTGCGATCACTGAACAGTAAGAATGATTAATAAATCCATATGAAACAAGTAAAACCATGAAAAACATAAAACCATACTCACACACAAGCGTACCGCGCCAAAGCCCAAGTGATCCGCGCTCAGGCACACCTCTTCCAACCGGGCCAGGGCCGGCCAAGTGAACCGTGCTTGAGCCCGATTCAGTGCACTCACACTTCTCAAACGATCCGGGAAACGGGCCTGGGCACGGTACGGATGGCATAGTGTGAGTAGGCCCTAAGTCAGGGCTCTGGCTGGGCCATTCAAGAACAGCCACAGAGTTGTTGTGAAGCCACTCCTTTATTGTTTTAGCTGTGTTCTTAGGGTCATTGTCTTATTGGAAGGTAAACCTCCTGCTCAGTCTGCAATATAACAAAGAGGGGTCTGAATGCTTACCAAACCCACTGTACAAGTTCTTGCACTACAACACAGGCTGAATACATGTAACGAAAAAGTTAATGACGAAGTGCTACGTAAATGACTGCTTGCTTTTTTTTGTTTTGTTTTTGCCTCACTGAAAACACAATATATAGGCGAAAACAATAAAACCATGTCAAAATATTTTATTTATACGATAAAACGAATGGGGCAGCATGGTGGGTAGCAAAATCATCTCACAGCAAGAAGGTCGCTGGTTCGAGCCCCGACTGGGTCAGTTGGTGTTTCTGTGTGGAGTTTATATGTTCTCTCCGTGTTTGCGTGGGTTTCCTCCGGGTGCTCCGGTTTCCCACACAGTCCAAAGACATGTGGTATTGGTGAATTGGATAAGCTAAAATTGATCGTAGTGTATGAGTATGAATAAGTATGTATGGATGTTTCCCAGTGATGGGTTGTAGCTGAAAAGAAAATGTATGAATGAATAATTAAACTACATACTGTACCTTTTTGCTCCTGGCAGCTGTATCATATCCTACTGATCCTGACAGACGGGGTGGTCACAGACATGGCGGACACACGGGAGGCGATTGTCCGGGCCTCATACCAGCCCATGTCCATCATCATAGTGGGAGTGGGAAACGCAGACTTCACAGACATGCAGATCCTCGATGGAGACGACGGGGTCCTGCGCTCACCCAAAGGAGAGCCCGTCCTGAGGGACATCGTCCAGTTTGTGCCCTTCAGAGACTTTAAAACGGTCAGTCTTTCTCTGTCATTTGGTATTTTACTCAGTTTCTCAGAATTATGAATGTAGTGTTTGTGTAAAAGAAATGTTTGATTGTTTTACTACTAATGATATTTCTTCCAAATTAAGATATATATATATATATTAGGGATGTAACAGTATCAGAATTTCATGGTACAGTAATACCTCGGTATGAATGTCACGGTAAGGTATTTATTGAATCATTTACAGGAAAAACAAAACTTATGAAAATACTCCAAAAAAGTGCCAAAAGTGTCAATGACATACAAATTAGCCATCTATCTTTAAGCTTTGAAACAGGAACTTAAATTTTAATAACAAAAAATTATTAAACCATGTAAAAAAATAAAGTTTCAATTTAGTATTGTTGAGAACTCATCACATTCAACATTTAATCAGTCACTCACTCAGATAGAGATGGGTTTTTCAATTTAACAACATAAAAACGGTGGACCAATTGGAGAGGTTTTCAGACCGACCGCAACTTGACGTAGGAGTGCGGTCCCCCCGCCCTCCGATTTGATTGACAGCTATTGCATTAACATGTCTGGGTAGTCACCTGTATAATCATGTCAACAAGATCAGACGTGCGCAAAGCAACCGGGAAAAAAAGGTCTGTTTAGTTCAAGAGTGATCAAGAGTAAGTTTCACATGTTTAAAATGTTTTGAAACAGTCCACGTGTGTAAACAAGTACAGCGATTTACTTCAGCTTTACTTCCTCAGTATCCGCGTGTCAGAACAATTATAAAGGAAGACGCTTCAATCCCGGTTTGCGGACGTTAAATCAGGTTTATTTTGTACATAAACTTAACAGATATCCATACAGCAGTGGAGATTAAGCACATTCTGGAGACGCAAAACACTTATATTAAATCTGAAAAAGGGGTAACCTATGTGCTCTTTAAGTCTTGATTTGAATGTGTCTAATGTTGGAGCACATCTGATCATTTCTGGAAGCTGTTTCCAGCGGCGGGTGGTGGAGTAGCCGAAAGTGGATTAAGCACGCTTTGACTGAACTCTTGGTATTTGTAATTTACTTGATCCTAATGATCTATGATTTATAGACAAGTAATAACACTTTAAAATCTATTCTGATTGTAACCGGGAGCCAGTGTAAAGACATAAGGACAGGTGTGATGTGCTTGGATTTTCTAGTTCTGGTCAGGATTCTGGCAGCAGTGTTCTGCATGAGCTGCAACTTTCTGACTGTCATTTTTGGGAAGGCGAGAGAGGAGTCTATCACGGTAATCCAACCTACTGGTGATAAAAGCATAAGTTTCTCTAAATATAATTAAGTTAAGATAGAAATATATTTTTTTGGACCAGTTGTCACCTTCTGTAGAAGTAATGACAACATTTTTCATTTGAATTAGGAAGAAATGTAATTAGAAATATGTAGAATAAACAATTTTACCATTTTACTCAAACCCATACCTGATGAATCCATTAAATCCAGAGAGACAGAATTTTATTTTCCATAGCTAAATGTTTGCAATAAAAGCATCATCATATCAAGTTTAAGAGTTCCCATTTAGCTGATGATTGATAAAGCTTGTTTGGCCTGCTGTCCCAGGAGAGAGCCCTGAGCTCATAAGATCCTTGAGCCCGGGGCTCCCTCCCGTTTGCAAGGCAAGAGGGGAGTTTGAGCTCGGGAAAATCTTGAGAACTAGTAGCTAGTAGTAGCTAATGAACAGATAGTGATTGCTCTTAAGAGATAACTACTTACTAGGAGCTTGTCTATGGTACTGATTTGGATTTGGCAATTAACTTAAGTTGCATGTTTTTGGACGATGGGAGGAAACCGGGGAACCCGGGGAAAACCCACGTGAGCACGGGAGAACGTGTAAACTGTATTGAGGTCCTAGGCCATTTGACCTCAATTGCACAGAAACGTTCTGTGACGAGAACACTCAGCTGCCTAGCAAATAATTCTTGTTGACTAGCTTTAAATATTTTAGCGAAGGTGCTTTAATTAAAATATTGACTGAGGACCGGTTCACCATTTGCTCATCTAAACCTAATTGGAAAAGCTGCTTCTTTAAATCTATCACCTTTAATGCACCAGAGAAACAGCCTTAGTCAATTTAAGAAATAGTTGATAGTTGCTTCAGGAAAAATATAAAGTCACATAGGAAGTTATTTACTCTGGGTAATAATCTAGTTATAAGATAGAAAAATACATATGCAAAATGTTATTTAGTAGCACATTATATATACATATTTCATATTATATATAGTTAAGCCCAAATTTATTTACAACCCTGTATTTAAATTTACCTTAATTTACCTTCAACTATATACAGCAAATATATATTCATACATTTATAATTATAGTAGATTCCTTGCCAGATACTGCAGGTAGATCAAATCACAAAGAACTACTCTATAACAAAAAGATGCATTAGTTTTTATGGGCTTAAATGTTGAAAAATAAATGTAACACACTGGAATAAGAGCCATGGGTTTATTCTTGCCTAAATAACACGGTTCTTTGGAGAATGAAGCAGGCAGCGAGACAAAACAGCATATGCCGGAGGTACATCTGAACAAAAAACTGCTCTCAGAGCTCTGCGGTTTTCTCCACAAGAGCGATTTGTCCCCTCTACTGATTTAGAAATAAATAAAAAAAAACAATCATTTTACAAAAGCGAGGATTAAAACCATGTAAATACTCTCTCAACAGCCTGCCGCTTGGCTCTCCTCCCAAAAAATCCAATCACTAATTGTACTTTCCGCATCCCCTTGTTAGAACGCAGTTTACCGTGAATTCAGTTGTGGTGTATTTCCACTATTGTTAATGTTTTTTTTTTTTTCTTTATGCGTTTTTTTGCAGGCATCACCAGCTGCCCTGGCTAAATGTGTCCTAGCGGAGGTGCCCAAACAAGTGGTGGAGTACTTCAGCCACAAGGCCATACCGCCTATGAACCCGGTGCTCAATTCAAGCCCCAACTCCATCGCCAACACACCTGAATAACTCTCAAAACCATCCCTCCATAGTACTGCAGACAAAGAGACCAACACACTCTCATCCTGACCGCATTTCCTCATTCATAAGATGATCATACACCACTGACGGTTTGGATCTCGATGTTGCCCTTGGGAAAAAAAAAAAACTGGACTGTTCCCCCCAGCATGAAAACCGAAGGCCTTTTCCCCCTCTTCGGAAGGGCAGAGACAATGCATTGAATTCCCATCAGGATCCTGAACCCTGCTGACTCGACTCTTTTCAACTGCACAAGGCCGCTTTCTGCATTCTGCTGTTTTATATGCCCTTCAAGAGCTTTCATTTCTGCCTCCTGGGGAACTGGAACAGAAATGGCGTGGACGCTTGCAATGTAATTACTCGAAAATAGCATGTATATTGATTGATTGAAAGAGTTTGCTTCGGTTTCGCCTGACAAATATGCATATTTCGTTGCGATGTTGATGTAAAAGTAATGAGCGCAAGAATGGTCATCAGCTGGTTAGTCAGTATTAGAGGTGGCGCTTTGTTAATTAGCATGCTGACAGTGCACCGTTTGAAGCTGCTTCGTCAAATCTGTCACCTTTAATGCAGCGGTGCAACAGTTTTACTCGCACAGACTGATGTGATTGGCTGGTTTGTTTTGCTGGTTTTTTAAGCATCTTGTGCCATGAGCATTCTTAAAGGCATACTTCACCCAAATATCATTTATTTGCTTAAAGACTACATAAAATGCAGGGTTCCACACAATTCAATCAGGTTGTCCCAACACAAATCGATTAAGTTAACAGAAAATGTGTATTGGTGGTTTATTACAAGGATTTTGTTTCCTAATATACAACATCACCCCAGATAATCAACCCAGGCTCATTCTGAAAACGTAGTCCAGCGAAAGTTTCTGGAGACCGAGAAATACGTCCCGGGAGGTACGTATGGCTGCATTAAATTTTTTTAAGCAAATGCTATGGGGCGGTGTGACGCCGTTCCCTTTCGCGCTTGCCAGCTGACCGCTAACCTCTGTGTGGAGGGCTTTCCCGCTGCAGTCAGTTTGTCCGGTCAGCTCATCGTGTGCGTCGGTGGGCTTCAGATGCAGAGAGGAGGAGTTGACAATGGCGAGCGGTTCCAGAAACCAGGTAAGACAAAAACAGAAACCAAAAAATAAAGCGAACGAGTTCATAACAGGGTGAGAACGGGGTGAAGCCCGAAAAACAGACAAGGGTTTTTCTTTTTCTAGACGGATTTTCTAAATTGTTGCTCGGGTTTAGGGAAGTGAGCGGGCAGGCGGGTCAATCGGTAAAACTGGTTGGGTTCAGGGAAGGAGGAGGGTGGGTCAGCCGATTGGCCGGTCACGCAGTCAATCATTGGTCAGTCATACAGCGGCCTCTGGTGGGTTGACGAGAGAACAGCGCGGGCGCGAACCGCACTCGCGAGAGACGTTCGAGATACAAAAAAGCGCGCACAACGGCCTCTCACGGATTCGCGAAAACAAAAACTGCACAAATACGTACCTCCCGGGACGTATTTCACGGCCTCCAGAAACATCCGCTGGACTACGTTTTCAAAATGAGCCTGGGTTGCAGATAATAGATCATTTATTTTCTTTTCGGCTTAGTCCCTTTATTGATCTGGGGTCACTACAATGGAATGAACCGCTAACTTAACCAGCATATGTTTTATGCAGTGGATGCCCTTCTACTTGCAACCCGTCACTAGGAAACATCCATTCACACATACAGTATGGACAATTTAGCTAATCCATTTCACCTGTACCATGTCTTTGGACTCTGGGGCAAACCAGAGCACCCAGAGGAAACCCATGCAAACACGGGGAGAACATACAAACTACACACAGAAATGCCAATTGACCTTGCCTGGGTTCGACAAGCGACCTTCTTGCTGTGTGGTGATTGTGCTACGCACTGCACCACCGTCCTCCCCCCAGACAATAGATCACTTTAACTACTATTAGAAATGTTAATAAAAGTCTTTTTTTTTTTACTTTTCAATGTTAAAAGTTTTTGGAAGAAAGATTAAGGTCCTAAAAAGGAATTTGAAAGCATAAATAAATGAGTAAAAATATAAACATGAATCACAAAACACTAAAAACTGTTAATTTACAGATTTTTTTAACAGTCTACCCAGTTTTTTTGTCCTATTCTGGACGTCAACGAGTATCATCAACCTGCATTTTTTGAAAATATAGTCTTTTGTGTACAACAGAAGAAAGAAACTCATAGAAGTTCCGCAAATTGTAAATGATGAGGGAAGTTTTATTTTTGGGTGTACTGTTCCTTTAAGACACTAGTTAAACAGAGTTAGCTATAGCACAATAGCTTTACAAAAAAATGTGACCCTTGCAGTCTGTTTTAAGGCTGGTTCAAACTCCTGCGTCAAGCGATCGCTCTGACCCATGGTGCATGCCTTGCGTGTAGTCGTGCATTTATACTTCTGCGTACTGTTTGTGTTGCTCTGCAATAACCCTTCTGAAGCTCTAGCTGGCAGTAGGTTATGTTATGTTCCTCTATGTCAAGTTTCTTCGCAGGTGTTTTTTTTTTTTTTCTGAACGTTACCTTAATATACAAGTATTTAAAACTGCTCATTCAGAGGTGGGAAGTGGCGGACGAGCAGAACTTTAATCACAAGGTGAACACAAAACTAAAGTTTCCAACGAGAGCTACTTCCCGGGACTCGACACTTGTAAACACTCGCTCTGTCTGGCTTGCGGCTCTCAGAACTGCCCACAATCATCACAGCTACCAAGCCGATCAATCACAGAGCGTTATTGCGACATGTAGTTACATTTTTTAAGAGGTGCGCATCAGCATCGGTGTCAGCCACGGCAAGGGCTATATGACCGTGCGAAGGCTGCACCGGAGCATACATGTGGACTTGACGCAGAAGTATAAATCAGCCTTTAAGGATGGTTTATACTTCTGCATTGAGTGATTGGCGTGACCCACAGTGCCCACCTTGCATGTAGTCATGCATTTATACTTCTGCATACTGTTTGTGTTGCTCGTCAACAACACTTCTGAAATGCTAGCTGGCAGTAGGTTATGCTATGTTCCTCTGTGTTGAGTTTCTTTGCAGTTTTTTTGTTTTACTGAACACTACCTTAAAGTACAAGTAGCTCAAACTAACTCATTTAGTGGCAGGAACCGGCGGACGAGCAACAACTTTAATCACAAGGTGAACACAAAGCTAAAGTTTCCATCTGGAGCTCTTTCATGTGACTCGACACTTGTAAACAATCGCTCCATCAGGCTCGCGGCTCTCAGCATCGCCCACAATCATCACAGCTACCTAGCAGACCTATGTGTGTGTGGTTACGTTTTCTTGAGAGGTGCGCGTTAGCATCGGTGTCAGCCACGGTGAGGGCTATGCAAACGTGCAAAGACTGCACCAGAGCATATGTGTGCGCTTGACGCAGAAGTGTAAATCAACCTTTAAGGATGGTTTACACTTTTGCGTCAAGTGATCGGCATGACCCACGGCGCATGCCTTGCACATAGTTGTGAATTTATACTTCTGTGTCCTGTTTGAGTTGCTCTGCAATAGCACTTCCGAAACGCTAGCTGGCAGTAGGTTATGCTACTTTATGTTCCTCTGTATCGAGTTTCTTTGTGGGTGTTTTGTTTTTTCTTAACGCTACCTTAAAGTTCAAGTAGCTAAAACTCGCTCTTTCAAAGGTGGGAACCGGCGAACGAGCAACAACTTTAATCATAAGGTGAACACAAAACTAAAGTTCCTTCAAAGGACTCGACACTTGTAAACAGTCGCTCCATCTGGCTTGTGGCTCTCAGCACCGCCCACACTCATCACAGTTAACAAGCCAACCAATCACAGCATCGTTGTGATGTGCAGTTAAATTTTTTGAGAGGTGCATGTTAGCATAGGCGTCAGCCACGTGCAAGGCGTATGTGACCGCACGAAGGCTGCAGCATACCCGTGCGCTTGATGCAGAAGTATTAATCAGCCTTTGGTCTTTACTTGCTTGAATTGCGTTGTCTGTTTACAGCCTTTAAAAAAACACTTCTAATTGGTTAACCTAAACCCAATTTAATTATCCAGGGTCAGTTGACTAGATGGTAGACTAGTTTTTTTTTCATATGCAGAGCCCTCACAGTCTGTCTAACTCTTATTCATGCTGTTTTCTCTACTTACCTTTATCCCAATAGTTTGTGAAAGCACTTGCTGCAGGCACTTTGTCGATCATGAGAGAATCTCTGCTCTAATTAAAAAGGTAAAGTGTTTAATTTCCGTCCCTGCAGCGAAACCGAACCGATTTGATGAATGATGTGTTTCTGCTGCGTTTCTAAGACAGCTTTGTGAATAAGCAACCCAGCTCTCATTAGTGGACCAATCTGATTACAATACTAAATTGCAAATTCCTTATTACAAATGTGTACTGTAATTACAAACATAATTACATAGATGAAGCACAAGCGTCTACAGAAAATGTATTTTTAGCTTGTAACAAATTTCCAGATTTCAATCATGTTTAGTAGTTACACAAAAAATCAACTTAAAGGTCTCATGAAGTGCTTTGAATTGTGTAGTTTATTTGATCTTTGATGCAATATCAACTGAAACATGAAGAGAGGGCGGAGCATAGAGTATCTTCTTCCCTTTAAAAAAAAGCCAATAGCGTTTTGTTTTCATCACAGCTCTCCCAGTAAGAGTGGGTGAGCTCAAGCGCATCAAATGAAAAGAAAATGAAAAGGGGGCGGGGATATCAGATACTAGAAAGCATTTGATTGGTCAAGATTTGATGTGTAGCTAAAGTATGAGGTGACGTTAAAAAACTATCCATTTAGGCAGAACTGACAAACTACAAGCTTTGTATGTTTATTTCAGTTTTATATCTTCTAATCGAGATTTTTGGAGCACACTAGCTTATAGATATAATAAAACTAACAAAACTTACATCTAAAAAGCTTTATTTTCATTTCAGGGGACCTTTAACTTCTATTTTTGGATTCCAAAACACAAGTTCAAATTAACTGCATTTAATACTTTAAA